TGCCACAAGCTCTGAGGCCCAGCACGTTGGCGGTTTCTCTTTGCTCTAGGTGAGCTCTCACGGAAACAGCGTCTTCACTTTCCTCAGCCAGAGCCTGGAGTATGCCAAGAATTCACGGGCCTCTCTCCGGAAGTCCTCTGTCATCTTCATAGGTAATCTGTTCTGGCATAACAAGTCCTGTCACCAAGCCTCTGCCTGTTCTCCTGTCTGACTTTCCCATAGTTCCAATATCTGGGGGACAGATCAATTTCAGATTCTCTTTGTTCAGGCTTCTTGGTAAGACCCTTCTGATGGCATCTGAGGCTGCCTCTCCCAGACAACGATACTACACTCATCATGTTATAATTTCATTCTCCCCTGTCCAAATAATCACTGTCCCTTCACCAGAGTCAGAGAGGCCTGGAGGTGATGACTTCTGTAATATGATAATTCTTTTAATATATGTTTTAAATTCATTTGATCTTTCTCAAACTCTATCCACCCACCACCCATCTATCTATCTATCTATCTATCTATCTATCTATCTATCCATCCATCCATCCATCTATCCATCTACTTATCTATCCATCCATCTATCCATCTATCCACTTATCTATTAATCTATCCATCTACTCATCCATCTATCTGTCTGCTTATCCAGCCATCCACTTATCCATCCATAATTCATCCATCCACTTATCCATCCATCCATCCATCAATCCATCCATCCATCCACTTATTCATCCATCATCCATCTATCCATCAACATATCCATCTATCTATCCACTCCATCTACCCTCCCACAAAATCCACTCTACCATCCTTTTATCAACCTATCCACTCCTCTGTCCATCATCCATCCATCCATCCATCCATCCATCCATCCATCCATCCATCCACTCCTTATATCTACATGTCCACTCCTGTCAATCATCTACCCATCTATCCATCTACCATCCACCTATCCATCCATTTTCTGACCCACCCATCTGTTTGTACACCCCCTTATTCATCCACACTCCCATCATCCCTTCATTGGTTTGTTGAGCTGATGGAGTAGGTGGGAGTAGGATGTAGAGGGGTGGGGGAGGGACTGCTAACATGGCCAATGCTGGGACAGAGGAGCAAGGCCTAGTACACATGGTATATCTCTGAACAAAGGGGCTAATCAGAGGCAGCTCCTCACATGCTGATTTCTTTCAATTTTGCTCCAAGCCAACTACTTCTAAAAACATTAATTCTAACACCTAATGCCAAGGCCTGTGCCCACCTCTGCCTGCAGTCAGCTTCTGGAACATAGAACTTCTTACCTCCTTTGGGACTTCTTGTGAGGCTCAGAAGAAAATTGCAAACACTTTGTCTAGAAAATGCATAGATATGTAAATTTTGCATATAAATTTAGGATCATCTGAAACGTTCCCTCTCCCTCCATTCTCCAAAATGGATACCAAATTAAGAAATTTATCATCTTGTTGGAGAAAGGATGCACAATCGGGGCCTGGAGATGTTGCTTAGTGATAGACCACAAGCTTAGCATGCATTAAACCCTGAGTTCAATACTCAGATCCTGAACATATGTAAATATAGGATTCATAAATCAAAAGTAAAGTAAAAACCAGTGTATACAGACCCAGTGTTTAAGGCCAGTGTATACAGACCCAGTGTTTAAGGCCAGTGTATACAGACCCAGTGTTTAAGGCCAATGTATACAGACCCAGTGTTTAAGGCCAGTGTATACAGACCCAGTGTTAAAGGCCAGTGTATACAGACCCAGTGTATACAGATCCAGTGTTAAAGGCCAGTGTATACAGACTCATTTCTTTACAGACCCAGTGTATATAGACCCTGTGTATATAGCTAGTAAGTCACTGAGACTCTGAGACACTCTAGGCAAGCACTAGGCTCAGTCTGGATCAGGGTCAGAAAAGACTTCATGGAGAGCCACTTTCTGAAGGGAACATACAAAGACAAAACAGGAATCACCCAGGAAAACACATGAGTAAAAGCTTGGTGGGAGGGGCAGGGTATAGCCAGGACCCCGACACCATGGGAGGCAGGTACATACAGCAAGGACAGCGGGAGCTGAGGATGTCCTGTGGCTGAGGAGACATCAGGGCAGCTACCTGATGCAGCAGCATGCTTAGAGTCTCAGCACCTCAGAGATCCCTAACATCTGTGCCTGGCTGGTGTACAAGACTGTTGGCTCAGCCCGGGGGAAGCTGGACAGGGAGGCAGGACTTTTCCATGTCACAGACAAGGAGGCTAAGGCCTAGCCTAGGGTGACACTGACAGTCAGCTGCATCCAGGATCTATGTTGTCCTGTTTGCTCCTGACCACTGGACCAACACCTTTCTGGGACTCCTGTTGAGAGTCTGCCCTCAGATCATAATGAAGCTTGCCTTTCAGGCCCTCATTTATGGGGCTGGAAGACGGCAGGCAGATTCTCTGAGGTCATCTGGTCCAAGGGTGGGAGGAGCAGGTATCAAGGTGGATGCCTTCACCTCTTGGATTATCTAGGGTCCCTGGTCCCCTGCATGGAGAACATGATGACTGAAGAGCGGCTGAATGAAGTGAAAGCTAGTAAGTCAGCCTGGGTTGGTGAGATGCTGAGGGAGTGGGAGCTCGAGCAGAACCACAGTACGTAACAGGAAAAGAGAATCGCTGTGTGTCAGGGCAAGAGTCTTCAGCTCAGTTCTGCTGTGCTAAGGCTTATCTCTAGTGAGTGTAATGTTAACCACTGTGGAGGTCACCCAGAGGCAGAATGCGCAGCACCCTGGGGAGCCTGTAACTTCATTTAAGCAAATAAGGCTCCAAAACAAGGGCCCAAACCATTTAGTGCAGAGTTTGTAGTTTAAATGCTTAAGAGGACATGGGTTCATTTTGCAACCGAGACAGCTGATGGGAGGTAGGCTGGTTCCTCATGTAGGAATGCTTCCTACATGAGGTGGAATTTTCATACAGGCTTCAAAAGATATGACAATCTGAAAGGCTGGGAAGATGCTTCAGAAGGGTGTCTAAGCCAAGGCTAGGAGGTGGGAAGAAAGGATGAGTTCTGAACTCTTCCTAGGGAGGACCTTTGTCTAAACAATCTCTTCTTTTCCTCCAACACAGCTCTGGAGATCTTGAGACATGATCCAGAAGCATCCGTGTGTATCTATGCGGCCCAGGCTCAGGATCAAATTATGGCCAGTTGCTGGCGGAACTCTTGGCCACTGCAATATGGTGATTCATGGGTGTGTGACCCATCCAGTACGCACCGCTGGAGCCCCAGCTGTGAGAACCTGCCCACTTCCCACCAAAGGCGCTCCTGGATCATGCAGGCATTGGCCTCCTGGAAGATGTCTCTGAAGCAGTGATAAAAGCCCCAGCCGGGTCACTGTAAACACTATGTGGTCAACCTCTCCGTGGAGATGGCTTCCTCATGGGAGAACCCCCGAGCCCCTGTGTAGCCCTCACTCTGACAAGTCTGGGAAAAGAGCATGGCCTTCATGTGCTGATTCACTTGACATTTACAGATGCGTCAGGCTGTTTTGTTCACTTTGTATAACGGGAGCCTGAGGCTCAGAGTAGTGGAGTGCATTGACCAAAGCCACTCAGGAAATCACCTGGATATCTCAGTTTCCCCTTCCCTGGTGATTTGAGCAGAAGGGTGATGATTTGGGTGGCTCTTGTGGAAAGGGAAAGAGTGACTAGACTCTTCCCACCTATGACATCATGCATATTTGGGAATTCTGTCTCTGAGTCTCACCTTTGACTCTTCACCCAGTTTGCCAAATAGTAATGCAAAAATATCTGGAGACATTTTTGGTGTTGCCACCTGACAGTGTCAATGCTACTAACACCTGCTGAGTAAAGACCAGGTGTCAGGCACACTGTTAAATGTCTTACAGTGTGCAGGACAGTCCCACATCCAAATGGTTTGAAGGTTGAAGTGATTCTAAGGTTGAAATTTTTCAGAGAGGAGCTCAGCAGGGAGGCCCGGGGACTGTGACATCCAGAGGTTGGAGTGACTTGCCAGAGAAGAGACTTCTTAAGGAGGTTTGGAAAGATGACCACAATTGGTCATCTGTGGGTGGAGAGCAGGGTACATGGGACCAAAGATCATCTTCAAAGTCCCAGTGAGAGGGAACCTGGAAAAAGAGAGGTGTGAGGGCCAGGCCCCAAGGCCATGGAGACTGCAGAGGAGGGAGACTTCATCCAGAGGGCAGTGGGGAGGCATGGCGGGGTGCTGAGAAGAGGGATATATGAGCAGGTGCCAACTTCAGAAAACTCTTCATAGTGTGTAGGGACCCCTGGGCAAGGCTGGTGGGGCAACAGATTGATGCAGCTGTTCTGAACAGGAACCTGTTACTAGTCAGTAGTGATGAACTTATCAATAATCCTGACCCAAGGATTCTACTTGAGGGCATACATCTCGGGGCAATTTTCCCACAGGCCCATGGGGACATGTATGAAGACCTCGGTTGTAGTATTATCTATGAGATGAGGTAAGCAGGCAGGCTGGGAACCCATCCTTGTAGGGTAAGCCCCATGGAGTTTCATGTGCAGTTATAGGTAATGGGAGTGTAAGGGGACCTCAAACCTTGTGCTGAGTGAAGAAAAGTATTTGTATGCACAAAAGTTTTGTTTTGTTTAAAATAGGGTCTTGCTATGTAGTCTCAACGGGTCTTCAACTAAACCTCCTAAATTCTAGGATTACAGACAGATGTCATGTGGCCTGGCTAAGAAGTCACCTTTTGAGAACATTTATAGAAAAGACATAAAAACATCAGGGTTGGAGAGAGGATATGAAGAGTTCAGATACAAAAGGAAGTTTACCTAACCACTTCTAAACGAGACTAGAGGCCAGGCCAACTTTGGCAGAAGATGGGTGGGGCTGGGGGTGAGGGAAAGCTCCGGGTCAGGCCACACCTCCAGGGCAGGCCACGTCCCCAGACCAGCGGAACCCGAGAGGCGTAGCCACGTGCAGCCCGGACAGCAAAAGGAAGGGCACCCTTGCCGCCGGAAGGAGCAGTGCGTTACTTGGTCCCCCGGGCTGAAGCGCCGAATTTGTGAGCTGCCATGGAGAATGCTGAGTCTGACCCTTCTGATGACACTTCCATGGACGCGTTCCTGGAAAAGTTCCAGAGCCAGCCTTACCGCGGCGGCTTCCGCGAGGACCAGTGGGAGGAGGTGGGCGGTGCTGGGGGCTTCTGGGGTAGGAGTTTGGTTCTCGCAGCTTAGACACTGCCAAAGAACTTGTGGCTCCTAGTTGAGTGCCAGAAACCATCCGCCTCGAGGGTCTTTCTGAGAGTCTAAGTTGTCAGTGCATTTAAGACCACAGGGTTTGACAGGCAGCCCTGTTACACACCACCACCTGGTTCTGCTATCAGATGGTTCCTTACTTAGAAAGTTGTTTCACTTGCAGTACCCAGGGTACATACGGTTAGGGTAAAGATGAACGGAGATGGTGAAGGTGGTCAGGAACGTGAAAGCGCCCAGTTGAAGGTGATTGCTAGCACCCGTGGAGAGAGTTGGAAAGCAGGATCCCACAGTCGAGTTTAACAGCAGAGAAACTGGGGCTTGTATAGATCCAGCCAATCCTGAGAATTTGCATATCACGATCAATGAGAAAAAAACTTTTGTCCTGGGATTGGATCTAATCAGTAGACAACAGTAATTATGTCATTTTTTTTAAATTCTAGGAATTTGACAAGATACCCCTATTTATGAAAAAGGCTCCATCAGAAATTGACCCCAAGGAGTTTCCTGACTTGGCTTGCCTCCAGTCGATCATTTTTGATGATGAGCGATCTCCAGAAGGTATCTTATGCAACTAGCACTTCTTTAGTGTCTTTGCTGAGTTGAGCCAAAGTTTTATGGCTAACATGTTAGTATTCACTCCACACATTCTCCTTTGGATACCATTCCAGGCCTGGAAGGCCTTAATCCAATGAAAAGCCAGATTGTCCTAACGAATCAGGAAGGAAGTGTGATAAGTGCCCCTAGGTAGTGGGCACTGTTGGACCATTGCACTGCAGGGGCAGGTGTGGGCTCGTGGGTCTGAGTCTGAACTGAGTCTTAATAGTTCTGTAGAAAAAAAGCACTTAGGAACATGCCATAAAATTTTTGGAAGTGGTTATAGCATTAAGTTTGCATGACCTTGTGTTCTATATCGATGCCAATTTTATGATACCATTAATTTGGATTTTTCTTTCTCTGTTGGTTCCTTCTCTTTGACTTATCATATATGTGTTAGTCTTTCTTTTGTTGTGCTAAAAGACTGACCAAAATGAATGTGTGGAAGAGAGGGTTTATTTTAGATTATAGGTTATAGTCAATCCCTCACTGAAGGAAGTGAACTCAAGTGGGAACTGAGAGGCAGGAACTGAGAGAGACCATGGGGTGCTGCTTACTGGGGCTGTCCCTCTTGCATTGTACAGCTTGCTTTTTATACAACCCAGGAGCACCTGCCCAGGAGTTGTGCTACTCACAGTGTCATGGGCCCTCCCCTATCAATCATTAATCAAGGTGGACGCATTTTTTTGTTTGAGGCTCCCTCTTTCCTGATGACTTTAGCTTGTGTCAAGCTGACAAAAACCTAACCTGTGCAATATTACATTACTGCATGACTGAGGTTTTTAGTGAGCTTTCTATAAAGTATGACATGCTGTTTACTTCCTCCTCTTTGCAGAGCAAGCCAAGACCTATAAAGATGAGGGCAATGACTACTTTAAAGAAAAAGACTATAAGAAAGCTGTCGTTTCATACAGCGAAGGGTTGAAGAAGAAGTGTGCAGACCCTGATTTGAATGCCGTCCTGTATACCAACCGGGCAGCAGCACAGTACTATCTTGGTACGTAATCATGACTCAGTTAGCTCTCGTGTGTGTGTGTGTGTGTGTGTGTGTGTGTGTGTGTGTGTGAGAGAGAGAGAGAGAGAGAGGGCGCACGCAGGGTAAAGGTTAGCCTATCATTCTCAGGAGCCATCTACCTTGTTTTTGGAGCCAGTCTCTCATTGGCCTGGAGCTGTCTGAGAAAGTTAAGCTGGCTGGGCAACAGCCCTGTGAATCCATTTGCCTCTACTTCTCCCAAGCATATGCCATTACAACTAGCATTTTTATGTGGGGACTAGGGGTCGAATCAGGTCCTCATGCTTGTACAGGAAGCACTTTACTGACTGAGCTATCTCCCCATCATGACTTTATTATTTCTGAAGAATTTACATGTAAAACTGAGAAGATATATGCTCTTAGGAGTTAGGAGCATTTGCTGCTCTTCCAGAGAACCTCAGGTTCAGGTCCCAGCAGACACATCAAGCTGCTCATAACAACACAGGCACAGCTCCAGCTCTAGAGGGCCAATGCCTCTCCTGTGTTGATGAGCATCCACGCACATGTACACACCCCAAATAGTTAAAAAAGGGAGGAAGAATTTACACCAGCACATGCTTTTAATCTTGCAACTTGGGAGGCAGAGGCAGGTGGATCTAGGAAATTTCTTAAATTGATACTTTTCTTAATTCTATGTACTGTTTTCTGTTTTTGGGAATTGTAGCTGCTGGTGCTCTCAGAACCAAGTGGGCGAACGGGGCTGGGGTTCGAATGCTTAGTCCTTCTTTATGGAATCACCACTGTGCTCGAGTTCCAGTCCAGACACTATGGTTTTGTGTCTGCCTAAAATAAACCTCCAGTCTCTCACCAGGTTTAGGGAGTGCTGGCTTCCATCAGTAGTGGAGGGTAAGGTGTCTGAAAATCTGATGGCCTTTCAGGCCTTTCTGTTGACGTACAGGTCTGAGTGCTTTGACCTCCTGTAGTGTGGCTTGGTAGCACAGGGTTTTCTCTCTGCTTTCTGTTTTCAAGTCTGTCCCTTTGCTTTCCAGCTTTCACAGTGTACTCTGTGTTCTGAGTGCCTTTGTGAGTGTCTGGGACCTGTAAATCTCAGCTACCTGGAGAACAAGGCAGAGGGATCCCCAGTTTTAGGTCAGCCTAGACAATTTAGTGAAACTGTCTCTCAAACCTCCATACCAGCAGAAGATAACTTAGCTAGCTTGCTTTTTCACACTGATCCTTTCACATTGGTCAAGTATTTTTGAAGATAATTTCTAGAAGAACACTGTTGTTCAAGTGTGCTAACTTATTCTCCAATGCACCTGATACTGTTCTTTGCCACATCCTCACTGGTTTCAGGTTGACTTTAGTTTCTAGCCACTGCTGACACTGGGCATCTTTTCACAGTGCTAGCCATTGTGGTTCCTCTGGACTGCCTGATGCTGTGCACTCTTTAGGACTCGATGAGGATAACTGTGTTTGTCCAGAAGTGTGTTCAGTATCCTGACTTCCTAAACCTTGTCTGGGAATTGTCTCTGTCAGTGCTGGAAGATTTTGGAACCATTTTAATGGAAAAGCTTATTCTTTCTTTAACTTAATGGTATTTCATTAGGCAATTTTCGCTCTGCCCTCAATGACGTCCTGGCTGCCAAGAAGCTAAAGCCTGGTCACCTGAAAGCCATCATAAGAGGTGAGTCTCCATGAGCTGTGGGGTGGCCATCACTTGGAAAAGCTGGCACTCTGCACCAAAAGCTGCCATTGAAAGCTTGGCTCCTGATGTGCTGGGGACTCGGGAAATCATCTTAGTGCTGCAGTCTGCGCATGAAGGTCATGCTTCCTTCCAGTGTATGAAATTCAAACTCCTTTTAAGTTAGTAAAGAACAAAACTAAGTAAGACATAGCACGTTCTGATTTTCTCCCTAGTTTAGCTGATCGAAAGGCAAGATAATTAAATACTATGTTGAAATTAATTAAAAGATAAGTGTGGGGTCTTTGCCAAGAACTCTGCTGCTGGCCTGTTCCCACGTTTTTTCATGTAGTGGTCTGACCTTGTAATAACAGCATTTTTACACTTTATATGTCACATTTCTCTGGGCTTAGGGTGCTTTGCAAACTTTAATTTATTCATCATGTATTGAGCCTCCCTACACTGCCAGTTTAAGTCAGTTAAACTACTTATCCAAGTTATGCCTCTCTAGATGTCTGTGGCTGGGTCTGGGAAGTAGGTCGATGCCCCCTCACCCACAGGACAGAGCCACTGAGTAAGGATTGGCCGGGAGACTGCAGTCCCGTGGAATTAGCCTCTTACTCATTGTCGATTCAACTTATAGTAGGACCTCCTTAGCAGGGCTTCTGCTCTTAATGTCAGTTTGCTCATTCTGGGTGATGAGGTTAGCGGTTTTTTTTTTTTAAATGTGTTTGTTTTGTGTGTGCAATATGCATGTGACTAGGCACACATGCCATGGTCTGTGTGTGGAGGTCAGAGGATAACCTTTAGTGGTAGACTCCTCCTCGCCAGGGAGAGAATTTAGGTTCTCAGGCTTGGCAGCAAGGGCCTTTACTTCCTGAGCCATCTCACCTATCCAGGCTTAGTGTCTTTGATACTCAAGCTGTCTTAGTTAGGGTTTTACTGCTGTGAAGAGACACCATGACCCAGGCAACTCTTTTTTTTTTGTTTGTTTGTTTTTTGTTTTTTGAGACAGGGTTTCTCTGTGTAGCCCGGGCTGGCCTGGAACTCACTCTGTAGACCAGGCTGGCCTTGAACTCAGAAATCCGTCTGCCTCTGCCTCCCAAGTGCTGGCATGCGCCACCACTGCCCAGCTCAAGGCAACTCTTATATAAGGACATTTAATTGGGGCTAGCTTACAGGTTCAGAGGTTCAGTCCATTATCAAGGTGGGAGCATGGCAGCATCCAGACATGCAGGAGGAGCTGAGAGTTCTGTGTCTTCATCTGAGGGCTGCTAGCAGAATACTGCCTTCCAGGCAGCTAGGACTAGGGTCTTAAAGCCCACACCCACAGTGACACACCTACTCCAACAGGACCACAACTTGTAATAGTGCCACTCCCTTGGCTGAACATATACAAACCATCACATAAGCCTTATAATAAAGTTCTGATGTTTTAAATTTCTATGAAAGTCTAAGAGGCTAACCAGAGAAAACTGAACATGATTGTAGTGAAACATTTTAGAAATAGAATCAAGGTATATAGCTTAATGGTAGGGCACTTACCTAACATCCACAGGGTGCCACAGATTTCATCCTAGAATGTAAACAAACAATCCCCCAAACCAGTCAAACAAAAAGTAAAAGGCAGTGTAAGCAGATGGCTATATAAAGAAGAGAAGTGTGTTTGGGTTTTGGTGTTGATTGGTGGCTGAAGGAATTCTGCTTTATAGTAAGTTTCATTTGAGGGCTGGAGAGGAGGCTCTGCAGTTAACAGAACATTCTGCCCTTGCACAGGACTCCAAGTCAGTGGCTCTCAGCTGTCTAAGACTCCAGCTCAAGGGCTAGCTGACATTTCTAGCCTTTTCAGGCCAACATTTTTACACACATTCCCTCCCTCCCCCCCTCTTAAAAACAAATCTTAACACACACACACACACACACCATCTGAGATGGCCTTTATTCTCCCATTTGCAGACAAGGTAATTGAAGCTCAGAAATGGCCTTTGTCCAAGGTCTAGCAGGTAAATGTCCAAGGTCTAGCAGGTAAATGTCCAAGGTCTAGCAGGTAAATGTCCAAGGTCTAGCAGGTAAATTACAGCCATTTTCTAGCACAGCCCTGTCTGTCTGTGCTGTTTGATGAGCTGTTGTATTTTAGGGTTCTTGATACCAGGAAGACTTGGAAGTTTTGAACAAATGGGGTTGAGAGTGATTTCTGATCTACAGTACACAGATCCTTTCCTTGTCTAGGAACTGAACTACGAAGAGCTATGTCCTGTCTCTCCTCCTGGGGCTGGCGGTGGATGGTGAGGGAAGGGAGGCGTTTTCAAGGTGGTGCTTTCTGAGCACGTTGTTCCAAGGTCCTCAGGACGCTGGTTTCTGCAGGTGCCCTGTGCCATCTTGAACTGAAACACTTTGCTGAGGCTGTGAACTGGTGTGATGAGGGACTACAAATTGATGCCAAAGAGAAGAAGCTTCTAGAAATGAGGGCAAAAGCAGACAAGCTAAAGGTTAGTAACTGTTCACAGACAGTTTACATTTGCTAGTTAGCATTCTTCAGATCATGTCTCAAGTCACTGTGGGAATGGATATTGTGTATGCTAGCAGTCTATAGTAGTGGTAGCTGGCTTTGCACTGCCAGCAGCAGAGTGTGAGTGGATTCCATCAGGTAGTTTGCTGAGAGAGGTGATGCCTGAGCCCGATCTCTGAATGACGGAGTGGGTACTGAGTGGCTGAATGACCTTGAGGGAGAAGAGCGGTCCAGGCAGGAAGCCCTAGAGGGATACTATAACAAATCTGAGTTTGAATACTACTTTTGCCACTGCTGAAATTCTGAAATGAATCAGGACAAGTTCCTGATATTTCTTGATCCTTGCTTTGAAGAAGAATATATACCTCGAGTTTTTGTTGTTGTTGTTGGTTTTGAAGATGAAATGAGCTAAGCAGGTTTCACATTATCAAGAGATAATACACAACAGAGACCATGTAATCTGCCTACCACATTTTCTCTGTTCCCTTTATAGCAGGCATTGGCAGATTCCTATTAACTGCAGGCCCAGGGGAAGCAGGAGCTGCTGGTGGTGGGCAGACTGGGGGAGAAAGTCTGCCGCCCGACTGTGTCTGCCAGACTGGGTGGGCCAATGGTGTTCTCTCTCACTGTCTACTCCACGGAGGTCCTTGAATGGAGATGCCCTATCTTCTTTATTGGTGCATCCTTCTTCTTTGCCTAAGCCTGCTTTGGGGGCACCAGCTGGGTGACACAGTGCTCTTGACAAGTGACAAGTGACAAGTGATACTTGGCTCTTGCAGCACCCCTCAGTGAATTGTGAGTTCTTGGGGGTGCAAGAATTAAGGGTTTTTTTTGGGGGGAGGGGTTCGAGACAGGGTTTCTCTGTGTAGCCCTGGCTGTCCTGGAACTCTGTAGATCAGGCTGGCCTCAAACTCAGAAATCCGCCTGCCTCTGCCACCCAAGTGCTGGGATTAAAGGCGTGTGCTACCACCGCTGGCCAAGAATTAAGGTTTTTGTTTTTTTTAAAGAACTAGGTTTTAAATTTCTGCTGACTGTGGGCCTGACCCCTGGGGGCATGCTTTGCAGATGGTTACTGAACCAGCCACTTGCAATCTCTGCGCAGGATCATGGTTTACATAGAGAGTAGGTATCTTGCAGGCTGGGGTAAAATCGAGAAAAAGTTCCCTGGAGCTGATGGCATCTGAATTATATTTCCAGAGAATGGAAGAGAGGGATCTGAGGAAAGCAAAGTTGAAGGAAAAGAAGGAACAGAGTCAGAATGAGGCTTTGCTCCAGGCCATCAAGGTGAGTTCTCAGAGCATACGCCTCACAGAGTGAATCCCCTGGCTGCTGTGTGAAGCCTGCTGCCACCTTTCTTGGGGTGCTTTGCCTTCACAGCTATCCTTACCCTGGACTCTCGAGTCAGCACTGCGTTCAGTTAGCTCTACCCCTGCCTGTGCCAGTCTCAGCAACACACTGAGTGTGTGCTCTGGGCTAGTCATCCTCTCACTCCCTCTCTCAGCAACCCTCTGGGGAATGCCTTGTTCGTGGTTTACTAATCTTAGATTGAAGAAAACCTCCCATAGTAATGGTGTCTGAATCAGGGCCTTGCTCATCACTGTAACTTACATTAGGACCTGGAAAGCCACGTTTTTAGGATGTTGCTTTAGTAAACAATAGTAAAACCCTCCCTGTCCTGCATTCTGAAGTGAGTGTAGTCTAGGAGGCCCAGTGGCCAAGCCAGTTAGTGCTTGGTACTTCCCTGAAGTGAATGTGTATGAGCTGCATCTCCTTTAATCCTTGCTGCCCGGTAGGTCTTCCATTTGACAGATGATGCCTCCTGGGCTGAGGTTTTAGTTTTATTCTGTGTTCAGTTAAGTTACACACACATTTCAGTTACTAACTTAGAGAACTTAATACTGCTAAAGTCTACTCACTTGTCTCTCCCAACAAACAATCTGTTAATATATATTAACAAATTAAATATGGGGCCGGAGAAGCGCTCAGTGGTTAAATGCACTGACTGTAGAGGACCTGGCATGTCGGTTCCCAGCACCTACATAGCAGCTAACAACTGCCTGTAATTCCAGTTCCAGGGAATCAATCACCCTTATACAGACATACCTATAGAACAGAACATAATTATAACTCTTTTAAAAAACGTGTGTGTGTGTGTGTATGTGAATGGCAGACAGATGTAGTGGTCCATGTCTGCAATTCCAATACTCGAGATGCAGAGGTGGAAGATGCTGAGTTTGAAGCCAGTTTCAAATAATAGTGAAACGCTTTTCTCGAAAGAGAAAACAAAACAAAACCCAATCCAACAAACAGAACAGTATACTCCAAGTTTTAAAATTTGATGCTCATTTAGAGAGGATTTGGCCATTTTCTTGAATAAGAGACCCAGATATTTGTATACAGACTCCTTTTTTTCTTGGATGTATTGTATATGTGCACCACATGCATGTAGTACCTTTAGAGGGTTGGGGTATTACGAATGGAACCTGCAAGGGCAGCCTGTGCACTAACCACTGAGCCCCCTCTCTAGCCCTACGTATAGATGGTTTACAGAATTTCTAGTTATTTCCTTTAGTTACGTCCTTTACTTTGGACTATAGTACAAATTAAAATCATTATCAGCAGTACAATGCTGCCTTAGTTAGGGTTTCTCTTGCTATGATGAAGCACCATGACCAAACAAGTTGGGGGAGGAAAGGGTTTATTTGGCTTACATTTCCATGTAATAGTCCATCATTAAAGGAAGTCAGGACAGGAACTCAAACAGGGCCAGAACCTGGAGGCAGGAGCTGATGTAGAGGCCATGGAGGAGTGCATTAGTTTGCTCCCTATGCTTTGCTCAGCCTATAGAACCCAGGACCACCAGCTCAGGGGTGGCACCACCCACAATGGGCTAGGCTTTCCCCCATCAATCACTAATTATGAAAATGCCTTTCAGCGGGATCTTAGGGAGGCATTTTCTCAATTGGGGTTCCCTTCTTTCAGATGGCTATAGCTTGTGTCAAGTTGACATAAAACCAGCACAAATGCCATGTTTTACTGATGGCTTAAGGCAGAGCTGTAGATGGTGACATTGAGTCAGCTGTCCCTGTTCATGTGTCATCCAAGGCTTTCCCATAGGCAGTGGTACAGGGGACTACTGTCAACAGACTGCCTGGCTCTTGGTAGCTGATCCTTTAAAAAAAAGTTTGCCAGCCAGAATGAGGCATGTGCCTGTGATCCTAGCACCTGGGAGCAAGTGACAGGAGCATCAGAAATCCAAGGCCAGCGTGGGTTGCATAAGACTGTCTCAAAAGAAAAGAAAAGGTTTGCTAACTTCTACTTTAGGGGATATCATCAAAACTAATTTTGATTTCCCTAAATCTGCTAACCTTAAGAAACCATGCCACACGTAAGAGGTGGCCCTACTCTGGAGACCTTCAGTGGATGTTCACTTCATTAAGGCAGTCAGGATGAAGTCAGGCTTTCTCTCTAGCATCGTGTGTTTTCACCAGAGGGAAGCACTTATATTCCTGTACCCATGTCACTCCTGCCCTGTTCGATATCTTTGCACTTGCTAGTCCTTGGGGTAGGCTGCCCCATCCATTCTCTGCTTTTCAAACCCACTGCTTAAGGTGAGCCCTTCCCAGATACCTCAGCTACTGTGTGCAGTTCCTCCCCTCTGTCTACTACCTTCTGCTGTAACTGTTCCATAGCTGCTCCCACAATACCAGAAGCAACTGTGTCTAGCTCCTCTTTTGATGCAGAGCCAAGCATATAACAGATGCCCTGTGAATGTAAGTTAAATAACTGGTGCCCACTCTGCCAGGCTACCAGGTCATTTAAGATGGTCACTTGGGCCTTTAGGAAGCTTCAGGGTTTATTTCAGTGATCTGTGTTTGCATCTACCTCATGATAAGGTTTGTGCAAGTATGTGTTTTTGTCTTAATCCAGGCTAGGAATATCCGGCTTGTCTCTGAATCAGTTGGTGGGGATGAAGATTCAGCCTCCAATGGTCCAGTTGAGATGCTTCTGAATGGGCTCAGCTCTGAGAACCCCTGTGGAGCCAGGCTAAGTATAGATGACCAAGGCAGGTTGAGCTGGCCTGTGCTGTTCCTGTACCCGGAGTATGCGCAGTCTGACTTCATCTCTGCTTTTCATGAGGACACCAGGTATGTATTTGTCCTAACGGCCCTCTGCTCCTGCTTGTGTGCTTCTCTTGCTGACTTGTCAGGAGAGACAAATGGGCTTTTGGCTGAGAAGGAGAGAGAATAATTTAGAGGCTATCCCCAGCATGTTGACAGGGTTCTCTATCATGAATCTATTTGCTAGCAAGACAAGTCTTGCCTCATCACGGCCTGGGTAGCTCATCTTAGATTGTACATGCATATAATTTAACTGTGTGTTTATTACACTATAGATTGTACCATTTACCTTATGATTTCCAAGGTTAATTCTTAGAAGGACTATGTCCTGTACAAGTGCTTTCTAGGTCACTTTTCTCTCTGAATCGGTGTCCAGGGACTGATGTGGGGATATAGATGGAACACTGACACCCAGAAAGCACTTCCTCCTCCCTTAGGTTTATTGACCATCTAATGGCGATGTTTAGTGAAGCACCGTCCTGGGACTCAGAGCACAAGTACCACCCAGATAGTTTGGAGGTAAGAAAGGTTTTATTTCGTTCCTTATAAGAGATATTGGGAGCATGTGTACAGAAATTGAGTGTTTTAAAAAAAATTTGTGTGTGTATGTGTGTGTGTAGGTTCATGGACAACTTTGGGCCATTATTCTTCTCCTCTGTAGGTTCTGGGGATTGAACTTAGGCCATCTGGCTCATCTGCCAAGAGCTTTTACATGCTTTTGTTTTTTTTCTTTTGGTAAAATATATATAACATTTTACCACTTGAGGCCAAAAGTGACGTCATCAAGCTCACTCCTTCCTTCACGCTGTTAGATGCCCATTACTACAACCCCTCTCTACACTTTCCATCATCCACTACTGAGACTCTGCACTCATCAAACAGAGATGGCCTCCACCCCTGCCCTTGGCTGTTCTACTTCCTGTCTCTATGAATATGACCACTCTGGAACCTCATACAAATAGAAATTATACAATGTCAGGCTTATTTCACTTAGCATAGTATCTGTAAGGCTCAACCATGGTTTAGAATGAGTCCTATTGTAGCATATGTGAGCCTTCCTTTGTAAGGCTGCATAATATTCCATTGTTAGATTTTTAAAATAGAACATAACCAGAGTTTACTGAGTAATGAGTTGTTCCCCGGATAGTTGAGAGTCAGACACCAAATGATTTCCAACAACCTTGAATTACTTTCATACATGTTTTCTACACACAGAGATATTCTTTATAATCTCAAAAGAGCCATCAAGGTCAGGCAGCTAGCATTGGTTGGTGACTTCAGCCTCATCCTCAGGCTCCACTCGGGTGCCACAGATTGTCCCAGGAAGATTCCTTTTGTTCCAGGAGCACATGGTGTATTATGTCTGTTATCATCCCCACTCTGACTCCTGCAGAGATACTGTACTTCCTGTCTTTTCTGCCCGAGTTTCCTGTGACTGGATTTGGATTTTGTATGTTTGGTTAAGCTGTCACAGGAGTGATGCTATATTCTACTGTGTCCTGTCATGTGGGCTCCAGTGTCCTGTTCCTGGTGATGATCACCCTGCTCACCTGACCAAGGAGGTGTTACCAGGTCTCTACTGCACAGTCACTGTATGCATATGCGCGTGCATGCCTGCGTGTGTGTGTGTGTGTGTGTGTGTGTGTGTGTGTGTGTGTGTGTACATGTGGATGTTAGAAGACAACTTATGGGAGCCAGTTCCATCATGTGGGTTCTGAACTTAGCTGCAGGTACCTTTACCACTGAGCCATGTCACTGGCCCAACGTTTATTTACTCAGTGGATTTATGGTTTCCTGTTTTATTTAATGAGTTTTATTTATTACTGTGGTGTTTATGTTCACACTGTTGAACTTGGTCAGTGGAACTTTATTCAGCTCTGTTTCTGTAGGCTAACTCATCTCCCTTCTTTACGTTCTTGTTTCTGGCTCAAAGTACTCCAGCTTTGAGCTGGGCTTTCTCCACCCCAGCTTCCATAGCAACCATTTTTTCCCAAGGAACCTTGGTTGTTTCTATGGAGAATGGTATCAAGAACCAAGATCTCTGTACAGTAAGCGTACCGTTAATATTGGGAAAGGGACTTGTGGCTGGGGAAGGATTATGAGTGCAACATTGTGTGTCTCCAGTTCTCCTCTGGCTCCTTGAGATTCGTTTTATTCATTTCTGTATTTGTAATGAAGATGTTCGTGGTGTTTTGAGTTAGGTTTTTACTGTGCAGTACAGGCTGTCAGTCCCTCGACTTCAGCCTATGTGTGCTAGGGTTACAGCTGTGCACTACCGTGTCCAGCTGACCTTTGTGTTCTTTGTTTAGTCCCCTTTTGCCACCAGCACTGGCACCTTCCTATGTGGAACCCTCAGCCCCATGTTAGCTCCTGCCCCAGGATGGCAGCCTTTCTCTTCTTCTGCAGACTCTCATCCTGTACAACTCACCCACCCCACATCCAGTTCCAGCTCTAACCCCTACACAGGCCATCCCAGCTGGGTTTAGTGACTATAATTCCAGTGACTTAGGAAGGTAAAGCAGTAGTCCAACCTGGGCTAACAAGTAGTTCAAGGCTAGCCTGAGTAACTTAGTGACTTAACTCTTTTATTTTTAAAAATAAAAAAGATGTGTATAGCTCAGTGGTTGAGCACTTGCCTAACATGTGTGAACCTGTCCTTGGTACTGCAAATAGCCACAAGAAAACAAAAACACTAGGTCATTCTCTGCTGTAGCTGGTGGTCATCCTTCTTCTGCTGGAGGCTCGATAATCCCTATAGTTTGTTCTGCTCCACATGTGTGCACGTTGTTTTCACTCCTGTTGGGCTCCAACTGGCTACTTTTTATTACCTGCCTTCTGAGGAAGCCCTTCTCTTCCTGCTCAGGTTGGCTGGCTCCTGGTGTGAGAGCCTCACTCTCTGAGTTGAGCTTTGACGTATCCTGTGGAATGTGCTCGTGCTTTGGTGCCCTACACACATACCTGTCTCACCTGCTCTGCTTCTTCCTTCCCTGTGGGTCACTGTGGCGTTGTACTCCCTACCTCTGTGGCACTGGGACTAAACTGAAGGCTGCACAGGCCTGGGGTTGAGCTTTGGTGCCTCTTTACTGCCTGTGTGACATGAGGAGATGGTTTTCTTCTCTGGCCATGGGGAATGCAGCTGGCCCTAAGCTTTCTGGGAAACATGGCTGGGGCACCTGATCACTGGAGCCTGCAGCTGTGTGGAGGAGGCAGACATTTCATTAGTAACAGTTGCCATCCCAACCTCTCAGATTGCTGCAGCGTGTATAGGCCATCTAAGCCTGTGTTTGTCTCTCATTCTTCTGGTTAATCTGCAGGTCTACTTCGAGGATGAGGACAAGGCAGAGCTATACCAGGTGTTCCCTGGGAGCACCCTGCTGCAGGTGCTGCAGCACCCAAGGTGAGCATCTCCATGGGATGATGGGAAAATTCACAGGCCCCTTCCAGAGTCTAGTCAGCTCTTCTGCTCACTGACACATAGCTATCACAGACCAGTGGGACCAAACTGGCCTGACCCATTAAACCAGACCATTGGCCAAGGAGGCTGAAGAACAGTGACAGCCCAGGGCATGGGAGGTGAGCGGCCTGGTCTCAGAATGGAAAAGCTGCTTGGCCTGTGTAGCTGAAGGCAGCTGGGGTAGCTTCCATTTTCAGATTGCTTGTGACTCCTGACACTGTCACATGGAAAGTGTCACATTGCTGACACTCCTGGGTTCCCTAACTGTGACCCTGAGCACACTCTGCCTCTCTGGGGCTCTACCTTCACCTGTAGACTGAATACATGTTTTTAGGGTACTTTTGAGTCAGGATGTAGGCAGAGTGCCCTTGTAGCCATGGTGCGGCCTGCTGAGGGAGGAGTCTGTTATCAGCAGTGGCAGTAAGCAGGATTCCACAACCGCCTCTTAACAGCTTCTGTAGAATGAATGCCCTGGGGGAATTAACAAATTCACTCTCGGCTCTATTTTTTTCTCCAACTTGTAGCAAAGTGAAAAAGAGTACAGCAAAGGATTTCTGCATTTAGAATAAAAGCCAGTTGTACTGGAGAAAGGGGGTCTGTGGCTGTGGCAAGCAGGGAGGCTGGAGAGCTGAGTTAGCACGGTTCATGAAGCATGGACTGGACTGTCCTGCTAAGGCACATGACTTTATCCAGGAAGGAGCACAGAGGAATGTACTGATTTGGATTGTCCTGTTGGGTGGTGAGACCCAGGGTGGGAGAGGCTGGATTGGAGGGAGGGTCTGAACAGATGAGAAGTCCCCAATGTGCCTGCTTTGGCTTGGAGGATGTGAAGGGACATTTCTCAAGGCCTGAGGCTCACTGCTGTATCCCATTTCCAAGAAGTATCTAAACATAAAGCAGACGGATCCACAGAAGAACACCAATTCCGAATGCTCAGAAACGTAAAGGCTACTGTAAGAGAATTATTTTTAGGTTTTTGACATAGACAAGATTCTGCTCAGAACCTGAAGACATGAACCAGGCCCCTCTGTCCAGAACTGGCCCACTGTGTAATGCCAACACACCTAGGCCTGGGAGGCCAGGGCCTTGCCCTCCTCTCCAGCCTGCCTTACTCCTTGAGTTTCATATTGTAGCAATAGCAGATAGTCTGGCTACCTGCACTGTGCACAAGAAACTTTCCCAAATTAATGCCAAGTTCAGGCATGGCGTCTTCCAGGAAGCCCTTCCTGTCCCCATGTAACTGGGCTGTGCTAAGAGTGTGTACTTCACATGTCCTTTATAGCCTCCCTCAGGGATAGACTTGGGAGCCAGAACATGGTTATGGAGCCAGGCAGTGGTGGCACACGCCTTTAATCCCAGCACTTGGGAGGCAGAGGCAGGTGGATTTCTGAGTTCGAGAGAACAGAAGTTAAGCTTCCTCCCTCAAATACCCTCCCTCAGCTCCCTCCCTAGGTCTCAGCATCACAAGTAAATAACCTTTCACTTGCTCCCACAGAACATGCATTTAACTATGGAGTAAAAAGGCTAGTAAAAAAACTATGGAGGCTAGCCTGGTCTACAGAGTGAGTTCCAGGACAGCCAGGGCTACACAGAGAAACCCTGTCTCGAAAAAACAAAAACAAAAAAAAAAAAAAAAAAGAACATGGTTATGGGCTTTGGTTTGTTTTTGAGGGGAGTTGGTAAACAGGGCTGCATGTAGCCCTGGCTGGCTTTCAGTTTGCTATGTAGTTACAGATGACCTGGAGCTCTGTATTCTACCTCTACCTTTCAAGTGCTGGGGTTCCAGGTGTGACTACCACACCCAGTTATAGTGGTGTTTGTTTGTTTGTTTGTTTGTTTTGAGACAGAATCTATCTACACAGCCCTGGCTGTTTTAAAACTCCCTATGTTGAGCATATTGGCTTTGACTGCACAGAGATTTACCACCTCTGCCTTTTGAATGCTGGGATTAAAGGGATATATCATTATGCCACCTTTTGTTGGTGTTGTTTTAAAGTATGCCTTTTACCATTTATCTGGAGTTGGGATAGCCCATGCCATGGCATATTCATGGAGGTCAGAAGAACTTATGGAAGTTGGTTCTCTCTTCCACTCTGAGTCTCAGGAACAGCAGCAAGTGCCATTATCTCACAAGCTGTCTTACTGGTCCACGTGCTTCTATTTTAATCTTGTTTCTTAACACAGGGCCTTATTTCTAGACTTGGAGTCACAGTCTATACCTCAAGAAGCCAGGCTTGGCTCCCAATTCTCAGGAAACCAATTAAAAGGGCAAAATTAATAGGGTTTTGTTGATGTTGTTTTGGTTGTTTTTTAAAGGTGAGAGATTTATTCAGTGTGACCATGATGGGAACAGATGGCCAAAACTGGCCTGTTGGGATACAGACTGTAACCTCAAGTTAGTAAGAGCCTGGCTTACACCAGTCACTCACAGAATATGGAAAGAACTGACAACTTGTTTTGTGGTCGTCTTTCCTGTTTAGTCCTCTGTCTGCCTGATGCCAGAGGCTGATCTAGAGGCTGTGGCTCAGTTTTAAGGGAAGACTATCATGCTGTCTCCAGACTTATGAATACCAAACAAAGAAATGTACTAAGTTGTATTTTAATGTTTGTGTACATCCAAAGTTTTACCTTAGTGTGGCTGGGAAGGTCCAGGGGTAATAGCAGTTATAATGTAGTTAGCCACTCTGTTGTGCTCCCTGCAGGTTCTTCGTGAAGGCCCTTACCCCAGCATTCCTGGTCTGTGTAGGATCCTCTCCTTTCTGTAAGAATTATCTCCAGGGGAAAAGGGTGCACAGGTAACATGGGAGCCAGACCCTGGGGTCTCTTCCCTCAACTTCCTCTGCCTGGACTCTACACACTTGAATCATCTGGCCTAGACTCCAGCACTCTAGCCTCTTGTTGGGGAAGAAGCTGCTGGACTCCCTGAACCTAACTAAGCCAGTCTGGCTGAGTGCTGGGCTCCAGCTGGGCCTCACCCTCCTCAGATTCTCAGCTCCGCCCTGGCCAGTACATCTTTGGAGTCCATCTCTGAAGAAAGCATTCACTGCAATTACCTGCTGGCCTTGGTAACTCCCTGGCCCAGAGACTATCTCAGGATGCAGTGACAGTCTTAACCTTTGTGTTATCGGGCATATACAGAAGGCACAGCTCCAAGACAGTAAGCCAGCCCTGCATCATACTCTAAGGCCTTAAGGCTTGAAAGATTCGCTCGGTTGCTTCACCAGCATGGAGGAAAGAAAGCCAAGGGATGCTGTGGATGCCATGAGGTGACTGGAGCTAGGAAGCCACCTCCCGTTTCTGTGTTGACGGTGACTGGGATCTTCAGGATTACTCAGAGCCCTACTGGATTCTCTGACCAGTAGAGTTGTAGTGTGAGAACTGCAACAGACCTGGTGGTAGCCACAGTGCTTTCCTCCAATCCTCAGCTCGAGTTATGCTCCTGCCTCCACAGAAAAATGCTGAGTTGAGGCGTGCACCACCGTGCCTGGCCAGGATTTCATGCCTTTTGATCCAGTCTTTGCCTGTCACAGGCTGGTTTTGTCTTGAGCTGTTCTTTGCATCCTAGAGATTATGTGTACTCTTACCTGCAGCTGAGTGGCTTCCTGCAGTGTCCACGCCATCTCCCAAGGGGAGTGTACTTCTCAATGCCCATGCAAGAGCTATGAGATGGGGCTTGTGCCACATCTGACAGAAGCTTGAGGAGCCAGTGGGCAGTGGTTTGCAAGTAAGCTTGTGTTCTTTTCCCTTTAGCATGAGGCCCCATTTCTCAAGTAGGAACATTCTTTACACCTGGGTGTCTGAGCAACGCTCACAGCAGCTGGCCTAAAGCCACTGTTTGTAACATGAGTGGCAAATGTTTCTGTAGTAAACACTGAGATTTGGGGGGTTGTTTGTCACTATAGGAAAAACGACTAATACATCATTAAACTGAAACCAGCTGGTAGCCTTCAGATGGGCTAATTTGGGGTCTTGTGTGTATCCTTGTTTCTGAAAGAGAAATTGTGTGGAATATTTAGGGAGACAAATGCAGCTTTCTTTCCCAAGGCAGGTCCCTATAAATCCACCAAACACTGATTTTGGAAACACTGCATTCTCTCCTCAGCTAGAGACTTTCTCCCTGACTTCCTTTGAAAGAACTCAAAGTCTATGTGAGGGGCCTAAGAGTTGGCAACAGTCCAGTAGGCACTCCAGGATCCCAGAAGCAGACATCTGTAGCCACCTCATTGTCATGGGCAAATCATATTCTACTGTGCCTTCCTACTGTCTAATTAGAGATATGACCCAGCCCCTCACTTGGTGAGGCTGAGGTGAGGCAAATTGAAATGTACCTGGCAAGTGCTGTGAAATGGTCCTCAGACCCTGCCCTTCCTGTAAGACACTTTTGGCCTTTGACCCTCCAGAGTCATCAGCTTAGATGCCACATGGTAGTGGGTGGGGGGAAGGAAGGTCTTAATTACTTTTTTATTGCTGTTGAGACACTATGACAAACCCAACTGATAGAAGTTTATTGGGGCCCTCAGTTCCAGCGGGTTAGTTAGAGTCCAAGACCATCATGGCAGAGAGCATGGTAACAGGAAGGCAGGCATGGCACTGGAGCAGTAGCTGAAAACTCACATCTTGAGACAACCACAGGAAAGAGAAAGCTAAGTGGGAATGGCTGAGCTTTTGAAATTTCACAACCCCAGTGACACACTCCCTCCAACAAGGCCGCCACCTACTAATCCTTCCCAAACAGTTCCACCAACTGCAGACCAAACATTGAAGTATCTGAGTCTGTGGTGATCATTCTCATTCAGACTACCCCAGGGAGAGCAGGCACTGAGAGCTGCATTGGTAGACTAGAGCCAGGTCTGTTACGTGAGCTCCTGTCAACTGTAAAATGATCATCTCTCCTTAACGCTGCTGTGACCTGTGCCTGTGAGCCCTCAGCCCAGGAACGACATGTCCTCAATGAAGAGCTCTCTTCAAATGTGCTAGTTCAGTCCGGTAGATTCACAATTGGATGATTCTGCATAACATCATTTAGGTTACATCATAACCTGCTGGCATTAGGAAGGCTGAGACCAGGCATACCTTTTAATTTCCTATGATGGATGCCACAGAAAGATTGATCTAACCATAATAAAGATTGATAAATCGCCAGTGATAGACATGGAGAGATAGTCACTAAACCAGAAAGAAAAAAACAATTTTTTGGAAACAGTTTCATCTGAGGAGTATGGTGGAATCTGTGAAGAGACTGCTTCCTGAGCAAGAGGTGGACCAGATCTTTACCTGGTGCCCCTTTGGCCACCATACCCATCTAGCAGGAGAAATACAGCAGGAGACTCAAGCCTTACCTGCCTGTTTTGTATGTGGAGGGAGAGAGTTATGGGGATGGACACCCCCAGAGGAGGGGGGATGAAGGTGAGGCCGGGGCACATGCTCCCACATCTGTTCCTGACCTTAAGGAAGAGCCTTTCTTACTTGTTCTGGGGTCTCTGGCAGAACCCTCAGAGTGCTTGCTGCTCCCCAGAACTAGGGCAGAGGAAGGATGTTTGATGTATGTCTGGTTGCCTCTGAGGATGTGGTGCCTCTGAGGATGTGGTGACAACTAGAGAGATGAGGAGAGGGACAAAGTCCCTAAACACCATCAGCAGGCACACAGAGCAGGCCAGATACTGCGTTCTGGCACTGCCAATTACACTGAGTTCTCTTACTTAATCCTGATAGTCACCCCAGAGCCTGTGTCCTCAGGATGAAGAAGCAGTGTCAGAGCCTGGATCCGAACCACCCATCCCCTCCCCATCACCATCCTTTCTTGCATCCACCCCCATGTTTCCATGCATTACAAGCTTCTGTCCTGTGCCCACACTGGCATGACGTTAGGGCTGAAGAGCCACACGCAGCCTCTGACTTAGGGGCATGCTGCTCAGTGGGTGTAATAAATCTGACCCTGGGCTGGCAGCTGCTCCAAGGAAGAGAAACAGACACAACAAGCAAGCCTGTCCTCGTCCTTAGCTGGAGTCCTGAGGCCTCCTCGTCGCTCAGCACTCCTGGTGTAGCATTCAGGCTCTCTAGGATCTCTGCCTTCACCACTGGGTAATTTGCTTTCTTTCCTGTTGTCTCCAAAGCCTGTCTGTCTGGGTCATAGTTCAGTTACATAGCAGGTGGTGCAGTAGCCTGGAGTCTCTGCTCCTCTGAGCTAGGCTGCCTTCTCCTAGTTCTAGTCCCATGCTCCCCATTGGTAGGCCTTGGGTACTGCTTGGCCTGACTTTTCTGTTCTTCAGTTTCCTTATGTGCTACACGGGCAGGTACTCTGAGGATTGAACATGTTGACCTAGTGAAACCCATGGAACTTACAGCACGTATTTGATCTGTGACTGTTGATCCCCCAGCCTTCCCACTCTTAGCCTCAGACATTTACATACTCTGTTCCTTTTTCCTGGGCTGTTGTTCCTCTCTACTGCCTAGCCTGCTGCTGACCTACTGCCTCCTCCAGGCAGGCCTCCCTGGCTGCTTAGGACTGTACTCTGTGGCTGTGCACTGTCACCATCACTGCCCTTAGCACATGGCACAGCACTAACTTACCTGATGGTTCACCCTACTTTGTGGACTGTGTCTAGGGTCCAAGCTGTACTTTTGTATGTGTCAGGCCTGGCACTGCACCTGCTCAGCATCTCAGTGATCCATAAGCAGTGGCTTGGGACTTCAGGGAAGGGGTAACTCAATGTGAACAGGTCAGAGGTTGAAGCCAGGACCTATGGCTATAAAGTTGAAGGAGGTGGACAGTCTGAGCAAACCCACAGACTCTTGAGGGAGTATGCTAGGGCAGCAGCTGCTGGCCTGACTGGAGAAAGCAGCTACCTACTGAGCACATAGGCCAGGCCAGCAGCATGACTCTAGGTGTTGACTGGCTCCCCAAACCTCCAACACATCTAGGCAGTAAGCAGTGTGTAAAGACTGCATGGAGAGCTTAAGCAAACTGCCCAAAGTTAACTAGCCAATAAAATGTGGAACGGGACTTGAACTCAGGACCCTCCTGACCCCTTTAGAGATAGCAGGACTGCTAAGACTAGGCTGCCTCGAGGGGCCCGGGGTGGGGGGCTTTGCATCACTCAGTCTAAGCTTATAGTGTGGGCAGTTGAACGAGTGAGGTAGACAGTCTGAGCAAAGCCACAGACCCTCAAGGGAGTATGCTCCCATACAGTATCATCCCCAGCCTGCTCGGTTAGGAGAACGTGCTCTCTTCAGAACCCCCAGCAAGAGCCTGCAACCACAGAGCTCTGTCAGTGGGGCTCCCATTGAGTTTTTTCCCTTCCATTTTGTCTTCCATCCCGTCTCCTCCTCTAGCAGTACAGACTTACTACCTTCCAGTTCTATGGTCAGGAATGTGGCTCAGCTGTTACCTCTGCTCCAAAATTCACAAGGCTGAGGTAAAAATGTTGACCCTTTGGGCTCTTCCCAGGGATTCTAAGAACCTGCTTCCAGACTTGTTCAGGCGTTGGGAGAATACAGTTCACTGAGGTTGTAGAATTGAGGTACCGCTTGCCTTACTGGTCCTCAGTGGCCTCTCTCTGGTTCCTGGGTCTCTGTAAGATCTCAATGGCATACCGTGCTCTAAGTCTTGACATTCCTTCCCACATCTGACTCCAGCCAGGGAAAACTCTCTGCTTTTAAGGGTTTGTGTGATTAGACTCTGTGAACATCCAGATAATCCTCCCGTTTTAAGGTATATAGTATTTTCTAAAAATATTTTTAAAATTTGAATGGGCATATAGTAACTGGACATTCCTAGAGAATGTAGTGTACGTGTATTTACTGTATTTCTGTACATGTATTTACTGTGTAATGGTAGGTCACACATATATCCTCTCTTTATGTCTTGCAAACACTGAAAATCCCCTCCATGGCCACTTTAAAATAGTTAGTGAAGCATTGTTAACCAGAGTTGTCATATTGCACTACAGAACTTTAAAGTGATTCTTCCTTTATCTCTGTTTCCTGCATTTCTGTCAGCCATGTTCTCTGTCCTCCCTCCTTTGGTACCATTTCCAGATTCTGATAACCACTGTCCTGTTCTTCATGTCTTTAAAATACACACAGGCTCACAGCCTGTTTTGAGGAGAGCCCCAGCAGAAGCACCTGCCTTGCAGATGGGAAGCACTGTCACCATTACCTGTGTGTGCCCCTCTGCACCTTGGTGGCCCTGCAGTTTTGTGAGCCAAGGCCAATTACACAGGCTGTTGTTAGCAGCCTGGCAATCTACTGGTTTGATGACCAAGGATGCGATCTCTGCGCTAGAGTTCTGTCTCATGGGAAGCAAAAACATGTCACCCCTTTCTGTAGGCCCACCGTGTGTCCCCTTAACTTGTATGCAAAGTACACCTAATGTAAGGGCAGTTGCTACTTACCATGCACCTGCAATGGCCCAGGCACTGTCCCCATTTTACCCACAAGAGTTGAGGTACTGGGACTCTAACGAAGTCCCCTTCAGAGTCATAAAGCTAGTAAGTGGCCCATGGGTTCTTAGTCCATCTGATCCTCATACTACAGTGTAAACCACTGTTTTAAATTAAGTACGCTTTTTTAAAAAATTACTTAAGTTTGCAGTAATACCTAAAATTACTTCCCCATTCTATTTCCCAATAAAACAAAGCCCTTGCAACCAAACAGTCCACTAAAACATACTGGCATCTTAACATAGAAATGGGCTGCAGGAACTCTGAAGAGGCTTGGTATCCAAGCAGTTAAGGGGGGCAATTTCACCATATTTCTGCAAAGTTCCCTTACTGGTGGCTCAGCAGGTGTTTCTTCCATTAAAACAGAATATTAGTAGAGCCCCTGATTTACATTCTAGGCTGATTTACATGATGGGTTTGTTCTGTACTAGGCTTTGTCCCTTAGTATTAATTCAGCTGTTTCCCAGTCAGTTGCCTTTAGACCTCCCCAAGGAATGAGCAGTGATATTTCAGCCTGCACTGAATTATCCAGCCAACAACTCCAGTTCATTGGTTTAAGGCAAGATCCTAGGGCTCAGAAATGAGTAAGCTGTGCGTTTGAATGTTCCACGATGAAGCATTCTGTTGGTGTCCCATTTGACTCTCCTTGGCAAGCTGTAAAGCTTCACCTCCCCAGTCTTAGGATATTGTTGTGGTATGGCCAAGCTGGGGCATTTCCTAAGTTATGGAATGCATCCTTGGGGAGAAAGGGAAGGGTGTCTTGACTGCACCCTAAAAGTGTTTCACACAAGTGGCTCTGTCAACTCCATACTGCCCTACAAGGAGGCTGCCATTCCTCTGAGCATCTTACCATGGAGATGTAAAAGGACAAACTATCTTAAGTCACAGCTCCTGAAGTGCTCAATCTAGGATTATGCCTCTTCAAATCTCTGGTCTGCTCACCAAATCACAGCGGGCCTGGCCACCGGAACACTAGTTTAGTAATCCTGTGATCCCAATTCCTACCACTCAAGCCTGGCCAGGGTGGTGCTGTGCTTTGTGTTTAACTCCTTCCTGTGAGACAGAGAATGAGTACCAGTTTCAGCAGCCTATGAGGCTTTGGCAACTCAATGGCTGACCTGCTACTTACTAGTCAGATGGCATGAGACACTTTGTCCCGACTCCAGGCTGTTCCCATCTGTAAACCAAGTGTTAGAGAAGTTCCCCTGACCCAGCATGTGGAGATGTGTGGGGATTGCACTCAGTAGTAAGCTGCCTGGCATGTGTCCTGCACCAAAATGAATAAAACACCTCTGTGTATTGTTTTTTTGTGACAAGGGTCTTAGGCTATCTCGGGTTTGCTGTGTAGCAAAGGATAACCTTGACCTTATTCTTCTGCTTCCATATGCTGGGATTACAGACATTATACCACCATGCCTGGTTCATGCAGTGCTGAGGACCAATCCCAGGACTCCATGTAGGTAATCTACCAACTGAGCTGTATCTCAGCCCCTATGTGCATGAATTTTAACTCCTCACAATGCTAACTAATTAGATAGGCAAAGATTTAGTTTTGCTTACTGAAATCACTTTTCTTAGGCAGAAATCAAGCAATGCAGTAAGAAAGGCACAGCTTAGCCGGGACAGTGGTAGCGCACGCCTTTAATCTCAGCACTTGGGAGGCAGAGACAGGCGGATTTCTGAGTTCGAGGCCAGCCTGGTCTACAGAGTGAGTTCCAGGACAGCCAGAACTACACAGAGAAACCCTGTCTCGAAAAAATAAAAACAAAACAAAACAAAAAAAGAAAGGCACAGCTTAGGGCCAGCATCTGCATTCTAGCTGTGATCCTCAATAGCCGTGTGTCTGTAGACATCTGGTTGGTTAAATGGAATGGTTCCTCATCTGTAAAATGTAACAGCACTGGCCTTGCACAGTGTTAAGGTCTGAAAGCAGCATTTGAAGGTGCCACACAGCAGTGGCACAAGGGAGGCCCTCAGAAAGCCAGATCATTAAAAGCAGAGGACTGACATCAGCCTGGTGCCCCACTGGATTCACTCCAGTAACCAACTACAATGCGGGATGGGAGTGGGGGAGATGATCTTACTCCAGTAGCTTTTGATTCCGACTGCAACCAGAATCTTCTGAAGGCTTTAATCTGTGTGGTACTGGGCAACAGCCCCATTGGAACCAGCTCTATAAGAGACTCAGGGATCCCAACTGCAGTAAACTAAGAGCCTCTGTCATGCAGCCTGACCAGAGCTTGCTCTCAGAACTCCAAGTATTACAAAGGGAGATAACTTCTCATGTCACGGAGACCAAAACACCCCAAAGAAATGACCCAAAGAGGCAGTGTTTGGGTTTCAGAGGGTCCTGTTCAGTCACATGGACCTACGCTTGGGTGTAACAGCCTGGTTGCAGGAGCACGTGGCTGGAGGTGGCTGTTTATGTGATGTCTGGCTAGAAGCATGAAAGGGATGCAGGTGCTGGGCCCTCTTTCTCCTAAGTCTGTCCAGCTGCTGTGATTCTAGAGTAACTCTACCCTCCACCACACTCTGTTGAGTTTCCCACTGCATATATCTGCCAAGCCCTAATGGCTCCCAGGGCCTGCTTTGGAGCCCAGAGACCTTTTTTATGATGATTTACCTTCAATGGCAAGTTGTTTGGATTTAGGGTCATCTAGATTTATGAAGTTCACCTCTGGATGTGTCTGTGAGAGCCTGTTCAGTGTTAACCAAGGTGGGGAGGACCCACTATTCCATGGACTAGGGAACTGCATATGTGGAGATCACAGGGCCTAGGGTGGAAAGCCCGCAGTCTTTTTCATCTGGATGCCGGAGCAATGAATGGAGACACATTGCTACAGCATGGACTCCATCCCCTACTCCCAGTTTCCCACAGAATGTAGTCAGCTCTCAATCAGTCACCTCTGTTGTAGGGATGGGAATTCAATTCTGAACCCACAGCAAGGTCACTGTGGGGCTGGAGCATGCTGCTGCTCCTGAAGTCTGGAAGAAACTGTTTAAAGCACTTCCCAGGTCCTGCCCCTCTCCAGTGAGGCGGAGCGGGAGAGCAGTCTACTGGCTGTACTGCTGAAGCAGGTGTTATCCTTGGTCCAAGTTAACACACACACACACAGACACACACACAAAGTTCACCCCAAAGGCTTGACTTTATTCAATCAACAGAACATGATCTCAGTGTGAATTGACCCAGTAGGGTTAGGTATCTGGAGGTAGCTTTGGGCCATCCGGCAGTTATGAAAACTTCTGGGGAAGCTTAGAGGCATGAGCAACCAGACCCATGTGTCTCGTAGAGCCACTCAGTGAGAGCCCTAGGATCTTACAGTCCTCCATCTCCATGTCTAGATGGGAATCCCAGGCCCCAGCAGGGGTATGTCAAGTCACCAGTGAATTAGCAGCAGCCAGGTTCCTGACTCTGCCGCTTGGGGCTTCTGGGTAGAGAAGGGCCACTAGCCCTGCTCTCTGGATTGAATGAAATGCAAGGCATGTGATCAGAATATAGGGTGGGGTTGGGGAAGTATTGGGCCCAGCTTTTAACCCAGCTCAAGGGAAAGTCACCTTTCAGCCTCCTAACAGAAGTGTCTACATGTAAAAGGAATGGCATATGGTAGCACAGCCAGCCCAAGGAGGATCGAGTTAATGACTAAATACAAACCATCACAAGCAAGGAGTAGTTTTTCCTAATACGCTTTCACCTTCCATGACAAGCCATTTCTGGAGAAACCAAGCAGGAGAGAAGTGGAGGGAACTGCAGTGTTACAGTGGACACCAAGCCTGCATGCAGGTGTGGCTGGGCACTCAGACGACATGCACACCAGTCAGTAAGTCCATGACTCCCTCTTTGGTGAGGAAGAGCACCTCACCAGTGTTCTGGGACCAAACCTCAAAGTGTGCAGGGTCCTCCAAGGCCCTTTTGCCTGCAATGATCACAAAGGGGTAGCCAAGCTTGTTGGCATCTTTCAGTCTGTTTCCAATGGTCAGGTGGGTCCTGTCATCCAGCAGGACCTCCCCTCGGAGCTGAGGCACTGCCTCTGTGACGTCATCATATAACTGTTCCACAATCTCTGTGGCTGCTGCCTCCTTGCTGCCCTTCTTAGGGGGGATGACACAGACTTGGTAAGGGGCAAGGAGGCTAGGCCAGCGGACACAGTCTTCTGTGGAGAGAACTTCGATGGCAGCAGCCAGGATCCGAGTGACTCCCAGGCCATAGCACCCCATTTCAGCCAGCAAAGGTTTCCCATGGGCACTGGTAAAGTGGGCATTGAAAATGGAAGAGTACTTGGTACCGAGGTAGAATGTGTGCCCCACCTCAATGCCTTTGGTTTCTGTCAGTGGACCCTGGCAGTCAGGGCAGATTTTTTGTGAAAAGTCTATTATCTCCGTGTTGGCTGAGAAGTGGCAGCTGGGACAGACCACAAGCTGGTCCTCTCCAATGTCCACTGGTATCTGGAATTCATGGGACATTGTGCCCCCGATGCTGCCCACATCTGCCCTGGCCTTCATCCATTGCAACCCCAGCCTGTCAAACAGCCTGCAATAAGCATCACACACCAGGCCATAGGTCTCCTGGGCAGCCTCAGAGGAGGAGTCAAAGGTGTACATGTCCTTCATATAGAACTCCCGGCCACGGAGAAGACCAAAACGGGGCCTAGGCTCATCCCGAAACTTCCTTGTAATCTGGTACAACAGTAAGGGGAGCTGCTTGTAGGACAGTTTCTTCTGGGAGGCAACCAGGGCTGTAACTGCTTCCTCATGAGTTGGTCCCAAGCAGTACTCTTTGCCGTGCCTGTCTCTCAGTCTCAGCAGCTCCCTGCCCATCAGGTCCCAGCGGCTAGTGGCCCGCCACAGCTCAGCTGGGCTGAGGCTGGGCATATTGATTTTCTGCCCACCAATGGCCTGCATCTCCTGGTCTATCACCCGCACCAGCTTCTCCATGGCACGAACTGTATAGGGCATGAGGTGGTAACAGCCGGGGCTGGCTGGAAGGATCAGGCCCACTTGTAGCATCAGCCTCTGATTCTTACTGGTCAGGTCACTAGCTTTGCCATCCAGAGAAAGCACCTGGTCTTCTCGAAGGTTCTGAGGCTGGAACATGCGGGATAATACCAAGCGCTGCCCTCTCCCTGGCGCACAATGGTAACATTTGTGGATGGTATACCTGGAGTGATGGAGGCTGCAGGTAGTCAAGGCAGATAGTGTTCTGCATCTTGTCAGCAGACCTTCCATGACACCTTGGTACCTGGAGAAAAATGAGTCATGTGGAGATGATGGTTAACTGGGTTCTCAGCATGGACTCCAGGAAATTAACTGAGTTCTCAGAATGGGATCCAAGATGTGGGTCCTTCCATGTCTATTAGCCCAGCAGATCACAGTACCACTTAAAGAAATTCATCTGGGGAGAGTGGCATATGCCTTTAATCCCAGCACTCCAGGACCTGGGAGGCAGAGACGGGCAGATCTCTTTGAGTTTGAGGCTAGTCTGGTACATAGTGAGTTCCAGGACAATAAGGGCTATGTAGAGAGACCTTTTTAAAAACAAACTAACAAACAAACACAGAAAACCAACAGCAACAACGACAACAACAACAACAACAACAACAGAAATTCATATTCTTCTGATTATGAAAATGTTAACAGCCTGTTGTGGAGACAGCATCAAGTTGTGCATGCACCGGCTCTAGGTAAGGCAGCCTGGATTCTAAACCAACTTCCCATTGGCCACTTAAACAGCCTGGAACATCTGTGTCTACCTCATGTGCTAAAGTTGCATCATGAAATGATATAGCTACCAGATTTGCTCTGTACATTTACTGTGAGAATTTTTTTAAAGGCAGGAAAAAACTCTTACAACAGTTTGTGGCACATGCTATGTGCCTGGTGGATGTTTGATATTGTTAACTATTTTAGGACACTGAGGAGAGACCTTGAAACAAATCAATTGTGATCTCACAGGCAACCGCTGAGGATAGTTTTTTGCAAGTCCTTGTCTCAGTCCCCACTAAGTCAATATTTCTAGGCACTGTGGCACATCTGAAATCCCAGCACTTGGGAGCTAGAGGTAGGAGGATCAGCACAAATTCAAGGCCAGCTAGATTTGCACATCTGAGTTCCAGGACATCTGAGGAAATGAATTATCTGCCTCAAACAAAAAAGGAGTATTGTTTTAACTGCTCTTCTCACCACTCATTCCTGGTCCATCTGCATCTTCACTGTCCAAACTGTTTGTTGAACTTCTGACCTCCACCTCCCCCCTCCCCTACCCCCCCCCCATTCTTTGGAGAACATAGTACATAGCTATTTGAAACTTGGTGAGCCAGAATCTCTTCAGACAATGGTGACCTTGCAGATCTGAGTATCACCCTGCAAAGCACCCTCTGGGCAAACCAGAAACCTGCCTTCATCTACTCTGCCCCACAGTACTGTCTCAATTCTTTGGTCCTCTGGCCCTGCCTAACTGCCTGCTCGGCCTGACCAGCATGCACCTCAGCCCAAGTTAACATCAACTTTTTGACTCGGCCTGTTAAAACAGCCCTCTACTGGTCTTGCATTCTATTCACTTTCAACTTTTCAAAACACAGACAGCAGAAGTGAGTTTCCTGCTGCCTTCAGAGTGTACCGCGGATCCCACCCGTGAGATGCTGTCCCCTCTCCCCTGCCTTCTTCCCGTTCCAGGAACACAGTGCATGACAACACACAATCCAGTCAGGAAAGCTAAACACAAAGCGCTTACAATGCCCGGTGCCATAAAGGTTTGACTATTATGATGCCCAATTCATAGGCTCGGAGATGAGTAAGTCAATTGGTGTAAGGGGACAGCAAAAGGAGCAGGGCCATTTGGAATGCGGGAACTTGCCTCCAAATACCACCAACGTCCCCGCAGCATAAAACAGCAATGAAACTTCAAACCCGCTCTAAACTGTCTTGGCCTTTACGAGGGGTGAACATACTGCGGTCATTCCTCTTTAAAACCCTAAGGCGGCTGGGCCACCAGGTCATCCCCGAGACCGTTCCAAAATGGGCCCTCCTAGGAACTCTGTGACTCTTAATGGCCACGCAAGCTTGACTAGGGCGGGAGTGTTGTCCTCAAACAGGGGGTGTGGAGATGGGGAAAGGTGAACTGCGACCGAGCACACGACTATCCAATAGCCCGTGGTTGTGACTGGCAGGATGCACACGAGAGAACACCAGATCGTGGATGCGCGTGCCCAGAAACTGCCTAGATTCGCTGGACCCTCCCTAGCCACCCTTCATGTCCAGCGGCCACCCACGCTCAACAGCAGCACTCTACCTGATCCGGGCGCTCGAAAGTCACGCGAAACCAGTGCGCCTGCGCCAACTTGGCCGGAACCTCGGCTGTGTTTCTCACCAATCGGAAAGCCGCACTCACGGGAGGGGGCGGGATGCTCTGGATCCACCCTCGGAAGAGAGGTGTGAGCGGTTTTCACGAAAGTAAATCGAAGAGCCTCGCTCTCTGGCCAAGATTCCGGAAGTGCCCTCTAGGAAGTAGTAAGGTTCAACTCTATGATCAAATCCTACTTTTACGGATTTGAGATGGCTTTTAACACACACGGCTAGGCCCTGTCTTATTCTTAAAGCCGATTAGGTTCATTAACAACACTCCATGTTTCAAATCTACCCTACGATTAAACAAGCTACATTTTAAATGAGTTTAGGATTGTAAAACAGGTGTATATAGTCACCTATATTACAATAGCCAAGGAAGTCTTTTTAAAATTTTTATGAAGCCGAGATGGGGTTTAATAAAGACATTTTAATATAGGCTTAAGCACCAGGCTTAAGAGAGAGGCGCTCAGAAACTGGAGAGCACGGATGTAGCTTCTCAAAGGGGAGTCTCCGTGAGTCTTGAAGATGCGAATTGGAACATCCAAACATCCGTTTACTGTGCTGGTTAAGAATCACTCCTGTGCTTCAGAGAACCAGTGTTCAGTTCTCAGCACTCACTTCAGACAGCTCACAATCACACTAACTCCAGCTCCAGGGAAATCCAAAACCTTCTGACCACTGAGGATACCCACCCCAACTCTCACACATAATGCACATAAGTGAAACTGAGTCTTTTCTCCATTCACAAGATGTACATGTTTTACTTAAGTGTGTTGTGTAGTGTGATATACACGTGTAAACTAGTGTGTGGAGCCGGGCGGTGGTGGTTCACGTCTTTAATCCCAGCACTTGGGAGGCAGAGGCAGAGGCAGAGACAGGCGGATTTCTGAGTTCGAGAGTTCGAGGCTAGCCTGGTCTACAGAGTGAGTTCCAGGACGGCCAGGGCTACACAAAGAAACCCTGTCTCGAAAACAAACAAACAACAACAACAAAAAAACCCAAAAAACAAAAACAAAAAACTAGTGTGTGGAGGCACAAGGCTGACAGAGGTGTCTTTCATCCATGTCCACCTTATATATTGAGGCTCTGAACCCCCTCTTCATGTTTTCATGACCACTTTACCTGATGAGCTGTCTCCCCAACCCTCACAAAATATTTTCTGAATAATTACATTGTACAAACTATGGTTGCAGCTGTGGGAAGAAGAGAATGAGTAAAACAACTCCCAATATTCATTTCAGAAGGGACTACCTGTAAGCCGATACAGTGAAACTTTAGCAGAGCAAGTGTCTTAGTCTGCTTTCAGTGGCTATGATAAAGATCTTAACCAAAAGCAACTTGAGGAGGAAAGGGTTTGTGTTAGCTTATGGGTTACAGTCCATCATTGGGGTTGAGGATGGGAGGTGAGAAATCGAGGCAGGAACATGAGACAGGAACCTGGAGACAGGATAAGCAAACACCATGGAGGAATACCACTTACTGGCTTGTTCCTCATGGCTTGCTCAGCCGGCCTTCTTGTACAACCCTGGAACACAGGTGCATCAGTGATACCACCCACAATTCACTGGACCCTCCTATGTCAATCATTAATCAAGAAGCTGCCCCACAGACTGGTCTGCAGGGGAGCCTGATGGGGGCATTTTCCCAATTGAAATTCCTCTTCCCAGATGACTCTAGCTGTGTCAAGTTGACTAAATAAATAAATAAGCAGGCAGCAGGGAGGCAGGGAAGTAAGGAACTCAGAAATCAAGACAAAATAAGATTTTGATAAAATTAATTTTAAAAAATTACCACAAAAATCCAAAGGAAGAAAAAGTCAGTTGCCAGTCAGAAGGTATTAAGTGTTCAGAAGACAAATTAACTTAAAAAAAATGGGGTGGGGAACTGGATGGTTCATAGGGTGCCCATGGAAAGCCATCAAGAAGGTGGCATTTTAGCAAAGACCTGAAGGAGGGGGGGAGGCAGGACCTTGTAGCTATCTGGGGGAGAATGTTGCAGGCTTGAAACAGAGTATAGAGGGTCCTGAGCAGGAGCTGGATTCCAGTTAGCCTATTCAACAACAACTACACTTTATATACTGCCTCGAGGGTGCTGCACCCATGGCAAGGCCAGATGACTCTGATAGTGACACAAACAGCTCCCCAGAAATTTCATGAACGGCCCATGATCAGCAGCAACACTAGGGCTTAGTAAAGCCCTGTAGGAATCCAGGAAGGGGGGAGCTTTACTTAGGAAATTGTCTTTACCAATAGAGAAGAATGGTTTGGCCAGGCAGAGGGACCAGGACACTCAGAGGCCTGGAGCAGAGTCTGATGAGGTATTACAAGGGTGACAGGCAGGTGATGGGGGCTGCGTCTTTATTTCTCACAACTCCTGATGTTACCAGAATTATAAAGGGTCAGAACCCTGGTCCCCCATACCCCAATAAGCCAGATCTGGCCACTTGTCCTCAACAAGCTGGGGCTAGGAGCTAGACTCCCAGAGAAGCAGACAAATAGGGAGAGGAGCCATGTCGAGGTGAATTTCCCAGATGGCTAGCTTCATTCATCCTCACCCTCTTGATTTGAAGCAGAAGCCTGGTAGCTTAAAACAAATGAAGGTCTTGTAGGCTTTTGTCTCCCACCAGCAGACTACGTGATGCTAAATTGGCTCAACAATTCCCAGACCTGCTCAGGGCATGTCACACACACTTCTTAGCTGTCAACCGTCCTTGCTTTCTTCAAACTGACCAACCCTAAGCTGGGGGAGGAAAACTCCTTAAAAGCCTAACCCTAGAGAAGAGTCTGGCTTTTGGGCTTCCTGAGTCTCCCTTCTGCTTTGCAGAGGGACTTTTTCTCTGTGTGTCTGCTGCACATATCTGTTGCCTCAGCAGTCAACGCCGTTCTCCAACTGCTGATTCTATCTGAGGTCCTTGAGGTTTCTCCGATGCCACTTGTGGTGCTTCAGATTTTCCCTGCCTTTTAATTCTGTACCTGGCAGAGAAAAGAAACCCAACCAGGACTTCTAGACTGTATCAGTTCAAGACCCCTAGACTGCATCAGAGCCATCACTGTCTCCATTCTAGCCTGACCTGAAAGGTGGTCTGAAAAATTGCAATCCACTTCCAGGAAACAGACTGCCTTCTGGGTGGCTCGGATGGTAGTCTTTTCTTTCCCCTTAGTGTGAGATTCCTGGGGGAATTCTAATTTCGTGGGGTGCACTGTTTTCATAGCCAAAGAGAGGGACATGAGTACCTCTTTAAGAATATTTTCATTCCTTCCAGGCATGCAGGCTCCACTGAGACGGTGCTTGACACTCAGACCCAAAAAGGCCCAAGAGGACATGCATGGTATGTACTCACTTATAAGTGAATATTAGCCATAAAATACAGGTACCATGTTACACTCCACAGACTCAAAGAAGCTAAACAAGAAAGAAGGCACAAGTGAGGATGATTGACTCTCACTTAGAAGGGGGATTAAAATAGTCATAAGAGGCAGGTGGAGGGAGGGAGGGAGAGGGGGGAGGGGAACAGGGGATTCAAGATCAGGTGTGGGGAAGGACAGGAGAGATGCCAAATGGCCATGAAAATGAATGGAAATCTGCAAATGATGGGGGTAAGTGGGGAGCATCTCCAGGATGAGACAGAGACATGAGATAAGGGAGGCTCCCAAGAATTAATGGGGGTGACCTTAGTTGTGACTCACTACATTGGGGATCTGGAACCTGAAGTGGCTGCCACCTATAACCAAGCAGGAACACCAGTGGAGCAATAGAGACATCAACCTACTCAGAAAACTTTCAACTGAAAATGCATCCTGTCTACAAGAAAAAGCAGGCATGGGGAAGGAGCAGAGACTGTGGGAATGACCAACCAATTACCAGCCCAGCTTGAGACCCATCCCATGGGCAAGCACCAATCCCTGACACTATTAATGATACTCTGTTATGCTTGCAGACAGGAGCATGATGTCCTCCGAGAGACTCCACTCCAGCAGCTGACTCAGACAAATACAGACACCCACAGCCAAACGGTGGATGGAGCTTGGGGACTCTTATGGAAGAATAGGAGGAAGGATTGCAGTTCCTGAAGGGGATAGGAACTCCGCAGGAAGAACAACAGAGTCAACTAACCTGGACCCTTGGGGCTCTCGGAGTCTGAGCCACCAACCAAAGAACATACATGGGCTGGCCCTAGGCCTTCCCACACATATGAAGCAGATGTGCAGTTTGGTCTTCATGTGAGTCCGTAACAACTGGAACATGCGGGGACTATCCCAAAAGCTGTTGCCTGTCTGTGAGATATGTTCTTCTAGCTGGGCTGCCTTGTCTGACTTCAATGGGAGAGAAGGCACCTAGTCTCACAGAGACTTAAAGTGCCAGGGTTGGGAGGAATTCCCACGGGGAGCCCACGTACTCAAAGGAGAAGGGAAGGGGAAGGGGGAAAAACTGTGGGAGGGGTGATTGGGAAGGGGTCAGTGAGTGAGATGTAAGTAAGTAAATTTAATTTGTTTTTTAAAAAATTAAAAAAATGTATATCTTCAATCCTTCCAGGCACGCAGGCTCCACTGGGGCAGTGCTTGACACCCAGGCCAGGCAATGCTGCAATCATCATGTATGTCATTCCTGGAACAAGCAAGGTTGCTGAAGTGGGGTCAGCCCAGGCATCGGTTCCTCAACGTCTCTCCTAGGACGGTCTTAAGCCCATTCTGAGTTAGAGGAGCTGGCCTACAAGAAAGATACTAGACAACCTGGAGAGGGAGAGTAATAGATTGTCAGGATTATCACCATCTTGAGTGGAGGAAGACATGGCTTACACATGAGAGAGAGTACATGACGGTAATGTCTGTCAGCCTGTTTGTAATGGCCAGGGTGAGCTGAGTAAGTCCTGAGTTCTTTTGTCTCTAAGAGACACTCTGGGTCTCTGCAGCCCAGCTCTATGTGAGAGATTTTCCTCGAGGACTGAGGTCCCACAGGTTTTACTGGGGCAATATTCTTCCTACTGGGAGAGAAACCATGTTCAGAGTT